TGGGCCACGGCGCTGGAGATGTGCGAGAGCCTGCTGGAGCTCAAGTGGGTGGTCAGCTCCGTGCTGGAGGAGCAGAAGGCGCCGCCCAACCTGGCGGACCACCAGTGGCGCCTCCTGCAGGAGCTCGCGCCGGTGCTGAGGACGGTGCGCATCGCGGCCGCCTTCCTGAGCGAGGACGCCAACGCGGCGGTCTCCGCGCTCATGCCCTGCCTGCACGGCGTGGCCCGGCTGCTGGGCCAGCGCATGGCGGAGAGCGGCTGTGCCGCTGCCCAGGGGGTGATGGGAAGGGTGCGGGCGCAGATGGAGAGGCGCTGGCAGCTGGGGGAGGAGGAGGCCCTCCTGGGGAGCCCAGCCGTCCTAGCCTCCTTCCTGGACCCGCGCTTCAAGGAGCTGCGCTTCCTGAGCCCCGACGCTCGCAGCAAGCTGCACAACCGGGTCAAGGAGCTCCTGTCCGCACAGAGCTACTCCGAGGAGGAGGAGAGGGAGAGCGGGAGAGGAGCGGGAGCGGGGGAGGTGGAGAGGGAGGGCTCGGGGCTGGAGCTGGGGATAGGCCTGGGGATGGGCGGCACGCTCTCGGCCTCCACAGCGCCCCCGCTGGACTCCCCCATGTCGTGCGGCTCTGGGGAGGAGAGCGACCTCATTGTGCTACAGCAGCAGCAGCAGGGGGGCGGAGCCCAAGTGGCCATGGCGACGTCACCCCAGGTTACCGACAAGCCGCTAGGACTGGGCGGGGCTGTGAGCGGCTCTGGCAGAGTCCCCAGCGTTTCGGGGCGCACGAGTGCGGGCAAGGGGGAGCTCCCGGCGGCCCCCGCTGCCCGTGACAGGACGAGCCCGGAGCCCCAGAGCATGTACGACCTCCTCCTGGGCGAGGACCCCACCGAGAGGATGCCCGAGATCCACCAGCAGCTGGAGAACTACATCGCCGAGCCCCTGTGCAAGCGCAGCCTGTCGCCGCTGGACTGGTGGCGGGCCAAGGAGCATCGCTTCCCCGCCGTGGCCCGTCTGGCCCGCCAGTACCTGGCCATCCCCGCCACCGCCCCGCCCGCCGACCGGGCCTTCGCTCCCCGCGAGACCCCGGCGGCCCAGCGCCGCGCCACGCTGGGCCCCCAGCACCTCGACCACATCCTCTTCCTGCACCAGAACTGCGACTACCTGGAGCGCCTGAGGGGCGGCGCCGCGGGCCGGCGGGAGCCTGCTGGCAGCAGCACGCTGGCCGCCCGCGCTGCGGCCAACCCGCAGGCCCGCGAGAGCCTCTACCAGAGCCTGGTGTCCTACGAGAACCGGGCCTGGCTGGCCGGGGAGGAGCCCTGACCCCGAGCAGGGGGCTGGTTTCTCTGGGCTCGGGGAGAGAGGTGTCTGACCCGGTACGCAGCTGGCTGGCCCCTCACAGTGACTCACTTGAACCCTGATCTTGATGCACTGCCCTGGGGTGCGGTTTTCCCCCGCAGGCTGCCACATCACTCTGGCAGTACCAGGGCTCAGAAAGACTAGCTGTACAACGACACAGGCACTGCCATCTTCCTCCTGCTGCCTCTAGGGGGCGTTTGAATTCTCACCGAGTCCCCCCGTCAAAAGACAGAGCACCCTGAGCGCCTTTCAGGAGTGTGAGGGGACTTTAAATGACTGTACAGAGTCAGTCTATTGTGTAAAACACATAGATATTTATGTATGTAAATACACTAATCGGTCACTGTACATAAAAGCAAATCATTGGATATTTAAAAGGTCTTTGTACATGTATTTGTACAAGTGGTTGACATAAACTTTATACGCTGTGTGCCTGCTGAAGAAATATGTTGTGATCCAGGTGCTTGCAGCCAGTCACCCTGAGAAACCGGCTGTTTGGTGAACAAAGGTGTTCTGGGGAAAGCAGTTTGCACCAGACAACTCCTTCCTATCTTAGGAATGCATAACGTTCGCGATTACTCTTGCAGTGCCCAGTTTTCCCCTTGTGGAAGGAAGGGGGGTGGGGGGCTCATGAGGGGTAACTGAACAGCCCTTTTCCGATGACGCTTTAGACGGAACTCGAAATGGGAAGTAACTTGTCCAATGAGGAGGTGCTCCTCACTGTCGTGGCAGGTAATGTAGAGCTGGGCTGAAATATCAGTTCCTGCTCACACATTTCTGGCTGGAACAGCAGGCCAGCTCATTGCAGAAGCCCCTCTTAAAGGTGTGGATAAATGTTTGGACTAGGACGGGCAGCAGGCCTTACAGTTCTGTATACAGGGAGAAACGGCACTGGATTACCTGCTTCCAGTCTCGGCAGCAGGTACCGGAACTGTCAGTCTTACAGCTGTGCTAGTACACGTCTTGTGTCCCCCTAAAGAGTCCTGGAACTCGCAGAGGGCAAACTGGCTCCTTTAGGTATCGCAACTACTGCTGCTGCAAAACTAGAGTCGTAATCATCGTAGAGCTCATTATTATTTATTTTGTTAAGAACAGTACAGTGAGAAACAAGAAATTGAACCAAAACGAATCAGCATCAACAAGATGAACAAGATTAGATCTCTCTGAACCAATGCTGGGTTTAAACATTCATCAAGGCTATGGAGATAACAGGCATCTGGAATACAGGAATGAAAAGAGATTCACAACATAGAAAGGTCCTGAAATTCTCAAGGTAAAAAAACAACACACAGTAGTCTATTCCCGTGGCACTCCATGTTCGGTCCCTCTCCTGCCGAGGTGATCGATCGCCTCCTGATCTCTAGAACATCTCTTCCGGTGCCAATCCCGTGTCTCTGTTGACACCCTGCAGTTCCTGTCCCCGGCTGGGGGCGACGGCGAGGGTCTCTCGCTGCCACGGGATGTGTGGCCCCGTGCAGGAGAGGCAGCCCAGACTGCAGGACGAGCCGAGAGCGCGTACTCGACACCGCTGGAACTGCGGCAAAACTCTGCAGCTGCTGCAGAACAGAAGGAAACTAAAACTAAAGAGTCAACCTGTCCCAGAATCCACCAGCAGCTCAGCACTTCCGAGAAACCTGGAGATCGTCATTTATTTCGATCTTTTATTCCGTGCATTTTAGCTATCCGGGTTTTTGGTCTCTTTTTGTCTTTTGTTAATTTATATAGCCACATATTTCCAGACTCCCTTGATCACATGCTTACCAGGTCTGATTGGTGAAATGAACAACCTGATCAATATGATTGCTCACAGAGAGCCTGTGTGAACTATTCAGGCGCTGCATGAAGTAACAAGCCTACACGACAAATAGATTTCTGGGTGGTAGCAAAGAATTACAACTCAGCCCCAAAAGATTGAGAGCCAAATTCCACACTTCTGTTTTTAATGCAACAAACCATTTGGTTTGTTAAGGAAATTGGTTGTTTTGATTTATTTCAGTTTTAGGCTGTTGTTAAAAAGATGATGTTTTATGGAGACTGCCAGTGCTGGCGGAGCAGGTACTTTGGAAAGGCACTGCAGGCTGTGTTGTGTGGACAGTGCCAGAAGTTGTATGTTCTTCCAGGAAACCAGGAAAAGTGTCTTGGAGATTCATGGGCATATACCAGATATCTGGTCTTCTGGAGTTCTGTCTTCCCTGCATTACAACTGGTTTACACTAACAGTAGAACTGGGCAGCAATATCACTTCCAAATACAAATGTAGGGTGTTTTGAAAAGGACTAATCCTCTTCCTACAAAAACAGAGCTGCCTATTTTTTTTTAAAATACATCTCCCCTTGCCCTCCTACCCGTCTGGCAACCTCCAGGTCTCCAGGTGTCAGTCTGTCAAGATTACTGCTGTGATTCTCTCCGCGGTGCTGGGAAGGGGGTAAGGACCTGTGCGTACACACCTCCGAAAATAGCTTTCCACCAAGGCCTTTGCCTGGCCCTCGACAGGGAGGGCCCCCCTGATTCTTCAGGGCTGCCAGCGAGGGCCCCCCCCCAACTGGTGCTGTTTCCCCTGTAAGGCTCCGACAGAAGGCATCAGAGGCTGGAGTGCACAGGTCCTCTCCATACTGCAGGTGCCCGCCTTGCAGTTTGGTTTGGAGCTGTTAAATACCCAGGGGTTGCTGGGCAGACTCTGAACAGGATGCTTTGATGGCTGTTTCCAGTAATTCCAAGGAAGAATGAAAGATTAGCTTTCAGTGGCATCATCCAGAGTGCTGCAGAGGGCTGTATGAAGAGTGCGGGCAACTCACAGGAAGAAGGGGCTCCATGTGACATCTGAGCCGGGACTGAGCCCTGCCTCCTCCTCCTCTTCCTCCTGGTCATGGTTAATCCAGCTGTTCCAAGAAGGGGACACACTATCCTGCTGCTGCTGAACCTTCAGGTGAGAACTCCGGCTCTTGATGTTTCCAGTGTCACTGAGAGAGGAAGAGAGGCTCAGGTAAATACAAAGTGTGAGTGTCCAGGGAAATGAGGGTTACAGTACTGCACTGAGGAGAGGGGTAAATGCACAGTGCACCTTGAAGAAGACAGCTCAGAGAGAGTTCAGTACACGCTGCAGAAAAACAGAAGCACCTGGTTAATACAAAGAGACAGGGTAAAAGGTTAGGTAAACTCAGAGCAGTTGCTTCACAGAAAGATGTTGATACAAAAAAAGCTTACTACACAAAGCAGGAGATTAATATGAATAGAATAATACAGAATAATGCTCCTACAGATGCACAAATACCCAAAGACAGTGGAGCACTTCATATATAACTTGCTTGAAAGAGGTTAACGTACAGATCAGACCATTCATTTGCTTTTTACACGTGGTGACAAGCAGGAGGGGAGCTTTTACAAATACACCCCTTTCTTAAGATGCCTCCTTGCCACTGGCCAGGGGTCAATATCTCATCTTGCTTCTCAGTGGAGTGGCGGTGCTACAGCCTGTGGCACTAACAGCAGAAACAGTTACACAGGCTTTCACAGCTGGCCAGCACTCCCTGTGACCCAGGGACCCTCCATAGCTCACTGTCCGAGGCCCTGTGTGGAGAGAGGCAGGAGTGGGAGCTCTCACAGCTTTGCTCACATGTCACACGCATTGCAGGAGTGCTTCCTAGCGCCCCCCGCAGCAGGCCGGCTCCCTGGCAGCCTGCACTGTCTTTCCATGCTCTTCTGGGGGCTCCCTGTTCCCTCTACTCCTGGTTTCTGGGGGCTGCATGGGGACTCCCTCCTCTGCAAGAGTGGCGATAGGTGATGCTATGGGTAACTGTTTTATTTTTCATTATTTACAGATGTTCAGCCTGTACAGTGTGCTTCTGCATGTGTGAAAAAATCTTAATGACCACTCCAAGAGACAAGGAGTACATAGCAGAACATTTACCAGGCTAAAGTATAAATACAAGATGTCAGACATTCCTTCCCAGCATTCTTTGCTTGCTCAAGCAATATGACACAGACTGGACCAGTGATCTCTGGACTGTAGGGTTACAATATGACACAGACTGGACCAGTGATCTCTGGACTGTAGGGTTACAATATGACACAGACTGGACCAGTGATCTCTGGACTGCAGGGTTACAATATGACACAGACTGGACCAGTGATCTCTGGACTGTAGGGTTACAATATGACACAGACTGGACCAGTGATCTCTGGACTACAAGGCCTAGCCTGTGATCTAAAAGAATGTCTTCAAAGTTTGAGACAAGTCAGAGCATGGGGCCTGCAATAATTTTAAATCTAAACTGTGGTCATTATTCATTTCAAAGGTCTAGGTATAGAAGTATGCACGCTCACAGAGTAGCCCTGCTGTCGCTGGGCTTCTCGACTGCGCCGCTTGAATTTCTTCTTTTTCTTCATGGTGTAGTAATACTCCACGCACTGAGGTACCGACTTACTCTTCAGCTGAAACACACAGGCACAGTCAAACGCTTAGAACGTTAGCCGGAGTGTTTGAGACATCGTGTGGTCACAGCCACACTGTGGAGCAGAGATCCAGATATGACCACGTATTAATGACACCAGGTCACATGGACAGTGCCAGAGGACACCCAACAGCTTACTGCAGCTGTGTACTGTGTCCTTACACTCCGGCAGATTACTATGGACACACTGCTGACGCAAGCAGCACTCATGGAGATATGGCAGAGACCCACAGTGCCACCAACATCACACATCCCTGCTGTACCTGCACTGATATACTCATGCTGACACAAAGACAGACACAACCACACACTGTCTCACATCAACAGCTCAGTGACCAGGTGCCTGCACATTGTACACAATAAGACAAACCCTACCTCACAACGACACACACAACGGCCCAGTGACCAGCCGCATGTACACACTGGGAGCCTCACCATGCTGTGAATGAGCTGGAACTCCCTGTCGTAGGTGGCCAGAGCCTTGCAGAACAGCTTCTTCTCTCGGGAGCTCCAGTGGTCTGAGCCTGGAGGAACATGGACAAGTCTGGGCCAGCAGGTATCACTTTAACTGCAGGGTGTGTTGTTGTGAAGCACAGCACATCTCAAGAATACACGGTTCATATACTGTAGTACAGATCGGTACAGCTCTGCCTTGACATTTAGAGCTCAACACAGTACAGTGCAGTCCAGACCAACGTGCTTTCCACAGTACCACTGCCCAGCAAGGTCTCATCTGCTACACAGTACTTCATATACTGCATACACTGACCATTCCACTACTCTACAGTCCAGTGCAGTGTGCCACTGCTATACCTGCATAGTGGTAGTCCCACAGCGGGTGTGAGGGAGAGCGCCGGGCTCCCTGCATCAACAGCAGTTCCACAGCAGTCTGAAAGCACACAAGACACATTCACAATACTGACCACACACAACATGACTGTTTTAAATAGTTAGTCCAGTTTTTGCAAGGGATATAAACCAGCTTTGTTACTGTTAGCTGAATTTCCCTGCCAGGCATTACACTGTTAAGCTTTTAAATAATGCTAATACTGTGCACCTGGGGTATTATATACCATACACACTGTACACCTGGGGTATATATAATTTGTGTACAGTATACTGCATATACTGCACACACTGAGCATCTGGGGTATATATACTGCACACACTGCACACCTGGGGTATACAGACTGTATACAATACACACTTGGATATATATACTGCACACACTGAACATCTGGTATATATATCCTACACACTGCACACCTGGGTATATATATTGCACACACTGAGCATCTGGGGTATATATACTATACACAGTGCACACCTGGGTATATATACTGTACACACTGCACACCTGGCGTATGTACGGTATACTGCACACGTAGTGTACACCTGGGTACATACACTGCACACAGTACACACATGGTGTATATATACTGCACACACTGAGCATCTGGGGTACATATACTGTACACACTGCAGACTTGGGGTTTATATACAGCACATGAGGTATATGTAATATTTGCACTGCATGCCTTGTATACCTGAGATATATATACACTGTCAACCCTGTACACCTCATGTGCACACATTCCCCTCCAGATTTATTCATACCCAATGTGAAAGGAGCAACAGATTTTCAGACATGATAACTTGACCTGATGGGGAAAAAGGTTATCTTTGTAGCACACGACGTATATACAGAGAACATAAACATTTATTCACACCACTGTAAACCTCCTCTGGCAGGGCTTTCACTCACAAGACACCTCCTGTAGCGAGCTATATGGCTTTGACTTTTTTGTGAACAGTTTTGAGTTCAAGCCATGAAGTTCCAGACCTCCTGAGGTCTGGAGGTTCAGATGTCCAGTGGAGAACTTTGATTTTGTGCAACTGTGTGCTTTAGATCACTGTGCCGAGCTTGAGCTGCTCGGCAGAAGGCAGCAGCTGTTTGGCGATAGTGTTCTGGTATATTTTGGGAATTCTTGATTCCCCTGTCTTGATAAGGGTTCCAGGATCTGCAGCTGCAAAACAAACCCAAAATAAAAAAAGGCTCTCCACAATGTTTTCTCAACATGAGTTTCTCCTTTTTTTAGAATCAACCCTGGAGAATCATTTATAAAAAGCACACTTTTCCCTCCAGTTGAATGTAAGACATGGTTTCAATTCAGACAATTCAGCCTCATGTAGACTCCAAGTTGCCTCCTTCTGTCATCCACCCTCCAAAGAAGCTTCTTCCTTGTAGCCTGGCCACAAATTTATATTATCCCTGGCAACAAGATTAATATTAGTGGATTCTTTAACAGCCTTATCCCAATATTTGGATTATTCTATAGCCTTACTGTGCTATAGAATAGCACAATATGACTTTTATTCTAAGACACTGCCCAACGAATAGCTCATTCTGTTGTATGATGTTTCTGTTCCTATTTCATCCGTGCTATGAACACTTCTGGAGGGCACAGTATGCACGCTGATCACCTGGGTTATATGGGCCACACATACAGTGATACATGGGGTAAATATAGGCTGTGACTGTACTTACCAGGATGTTCCCCTGTGCCTCGTTCAGACAGTGGAGTGCCAGCTCTGTATTAGTGCCCCCTCCTGGCATCGCACTGCAACAACACAACTCCAAGAACTCCGTCACTGAGACACAAAGAGACAGAGACACAGTCAGGCAGTGCAGCCTCACACTGTGCAGCCTCACACAATGCCATAGTACAAGGACTGTAGTGCAGCATCCAGTCCAGCATGGGCTGTTGAATTCAGCACCGATGATGGGAAAGAAGGATACACCTGATGTGATATCAAGGATTCTGAAAATAGCAAAAAGCTACAGGAGGTTCCTGGAGAACATGTTTCAGTGTAGATCGGCAGTGGACAGCTGAGGGTACTATTCATCTCCGATGTCCAATAGACAGGATTGAGGCAAGCCACAGACACAAACAGGGCACACTGTGAGTCGATGTAGCGCCCCATGGTGTGTCCTACCACTGTACATGGAGGTGCTTCCACTACTGCACACCACAGAGCAGTCTGGGCAGGCCTGAAGAGAAGCTCAAAGGCAGGATCACAGGACAGGATTCTCTGGGCGAAGAGGTGAGCCTCACTCCTGCGCTGTGTGTCTGTGTGTGTAGCACTCAAGAGCCTCACCCCTGCAGTGTCTGTGTGTATAGCACTCAAGAGCCTCACTCCTGCACAATGTCTGTGTGTGTAGCACTCAGATCACAAGTCCTGTACAGTGTCTGTGTGTGTAGCACTCAGATCACCAGTCCTGCACAGTGTCTGTGTGTGTAGCACTCAAAAGGCTCACTCTGTATCTCTTACTGTTCAGATATTAATATATGTGTGAAGTAACTCCTGAAAAAAGGCATTATGGGGACTGGCAAGTAAATTGTTTCAGTGGGTTGTGTAGAAAATCTATTAGTGTCCAGACACGTTTGGGCCTGTTCCGTTCCCTGTCGAGTTTCCCCTTGGCAGAGCAGAGTCCAATAGAGACACGAAGAGAGCACCCAGACCCTCACCCCGATGCTGCGTGACTGCATTGTGGGAAATGTCGCCCCAGGGGGTCCAGACCAGCTGGGCGGGGTGCTCCTCCTGCAGCACAAGAAGGGGGCTGCAGAGGGGCGGGATCTCGGCCTGGAAGCGCACGCCCACGTTGATGCGCCTGAAAGGCAGAGAACGTGAAAAGACCAGCGCTCTCAGAGCTTCACTGCTGCTCCTGTCCCTGCCTGCCTGGCTGGCTGGGCTGACAGCTCTACCCAGCTTACACAGCTGGTATGTTACTGGTGTTCGGGTGAAGAGTACAACAGTGGGTCTGAACCCACTGCCTTGAACCCTGCTCTGCCTCATACAGCCTCAACTCACCATCAGCCCGCCTGCTGGACTCCCAGCACGCATTTCAGAGGGACAGCAGGATTCTTATTCTCCTGTCCGTACAATATTAAATATCCTTACTTCCCTTTGGGATCTGCATACAATTTAATCCCATTTGATGGCATTTTCTAAGACGACCTTCTTCCTTAAGGGCCCAAAGGACCAGAACAAGAGTGGTGTCTGGACACGCCAGCGTGGGAAGAGCCAAGCTCAGTCCAGCCGCTACACAGCAGCATCAACTCTGACTGCACTGAAGGCAGCAGGAAGCAGGCAAAGATGCTTTCTTTTTTTTGGTGGGTGGCAAAAACAAACTTTACTCCAGCTTCCGAGGGGCAGACCCACTGATGAGAGTCAAATGTTTCTTAACCTTTCGTAACAAACTGTTTCTTAACCTGGGGTGATCGGGTGCATTCACTCCCTGGGGGAGCCACATCGCTGTCTGGGGGCGTTGAGGATTGTTGAGAGGATAAATCATCAAAACCACAAATCACTTGAACACCTTTTGATCAAGGATATAGGAACATATTTTGGGAACCACAGGGGTGCAGCTGCTGTAAAGGTTAAGAACCGCTGGTCTAGAACAACAGCACAAGCTGGTTCATAGTTGCAACCAGATATGTGCAGCAAGTTTTAGAAGCAAAACAAATGTTTCGAGTTAGCATCATTAGCTACATGTTTGTCATATTAAGGAATTATGGATTTAATTTACATAATGAAGAGTTTCTAGTTGTTGAGTGCCACATGAAAAACAATTCACACTACATCGTTATTACTCCTACATGCTGCTGAATTGTATTATTGTCTTTATATGCACTGACCGGTTCTCAGCTTAGCTGTGTAATATTGATGACTGTCATGATTTACTAGATAATACTAATCATCTCAGAGCCTGAATAGGCAGTACTGATTACTGGACAACTCTGAGCTTGACTTCCGAGCCGTGGGATACTGTGGAAGACACTCACGGCTCTATGGTGATGATGGTGTCATCCATAACGAGGAAAATCCCATCCGTTGCATCTGTGGAGCAAAAAACAGCAGCAGATTAGTACATTTAAATGCACTTTGCCTTAGTTTGTCCATGTTCCTCAGTGGACCTGAAACCTTTCAGAATTGTGAACCCAGAGCCGTCACAGACTCTGTCATAGACATTGTCATAGTTCACGACTAAAGAGATCCAGTCCCTGTGTTTGTCAGCTCATGAATGGAACTCATCACTGTTCTCGATGCTCCAATTCCACAGCACCGATGTCTTTCCGTAACGCCATGATTAAAACCACACGATTTCCTAAAGGAGGTCTTGCTAGAGCTCTGTGCAGTTTTAACGGTGCTCTCCTTGATTTCCGCTGTACGGAGCGGAAGGAGAACTGGAAGGACACGTTCAGAAACAGGAGAGGCGAGGCGAGAGGCGGGAAGAGAGGGCGGGTGCTCACAGACCTAGCGTCGCCGTGTAGGTGCCCGACAGCGGCCGGCTCGGCGGGGTGTGCGTCAGCGTGCCGAAGTACAGGCCAGTGCCCGGGCGCAGGGGGCTCAGCATGGGTGGCGGGGTGTAAGGGGGTGCCAGAAAGTCAGGGTTCAGCAGATGGTTGGTGAGGCAGACAGGGGAGCGCAGCTGACTGGGGTACCCGCCTGGGTCCCGAAACCGGGGTACCTGGCCCCCCTCGAAGCCCTCCTCTCCGACAAACGCAGGTGGAAAGGCGGGGGGTGTTGTCGGGGGAAGGATGTAGAGGGTCTTCTGGAACTCACACCTCTGGGCTCTGCTCCAGCCTTCCTCAGACTCTAGTGCTCTCTTGGCCTGGGGGGACAAGTTAGAGTCAGGAACACCCTGTACCTTCTACCTTCACTCCACAGCCAGCTTTCACCCAGTCCTCTGTAGAGAGACAGCAAACGTGATGCCTCCTTACCTCTAGCCCCATTCTTCCTCTCCCCACCTCTTCCTGTTCCTGTATCCCCCATCCCTCTCTCCTGCCTCTGTTCCTCCACCCATTCCTCTCCCGATCCTCTGTTCCCCCCCGTCCTTTTCTGCTTTACTGTCTCCCACCCAAGCTCTCACTGAGGTGTTAATACCGATACTTCATTTACACCTTCTAACAAGCAAACAAGCAAACAAAACATTAGGATACGTAGCTGAAGAGTAGAATTTTAATCATGGAACGATGTGCTAAAATTATACAATATACTAGTAAATCAGAATATTGTGCACAACTTTGATCACAAAAAAACATATTTCTGCTCTGCACTTAAAGGAACATCCTGCACTGACAGACTAATAGAACTGGATATCTTGGGCACTGAACACCTCCCTCTGCTCACCATGCACAAGGACAGCTGGGCAGCGTCTGCATTTGGCGCCCCGGGCTCCAGCAGCGAAACAGGGGTGACCAGCAGAGACAGGTCCGCCTTGTCCACGCTGAGCTGAGCCGGGCCTGGGCCCTGCTGGCTAGCCTCTCCTCTCCCGGCCCGGCCCTCCGCGCTCTCGCCATGCGCCTGTGCAGAGAGGAGACGAGCTGACGCAGGTACCGTCGCTGCTCCCAGCACTCTCCAGGAGACAGGCTTCTCAACCCAGCTCTGTGGCCAGAGCGCAAGGAAACATGTCTGCTGGAGGAGACCTTCTGGGCCAGGAGGAAGAGACTTCGTCTAGAGCACTGGGACCAACGCAACTTGAGTGGTTTGCACAAACACAAACCACGCACACAAGGATAACACCCCTCCAGCTGCAACCCACTGGAGCGCTCCCACTGGCACAGGCCTGCTAACCCCCATGCACTCGTGCGACACTCCCCCCTCCCAAACTGGCTGACCTCAGGCCAGACCTGAGCTTTAGGAAAGAACAAACCTCCTTCTCTGGGGCCCCTGCATTCAAGGGGCGATGTTTCACCTTCTTCGAGGGCTTGTGTTCATCCGTCTGCCCCATGTCCTCACACCGCCCCCTGCAGACCAAGACAGGAAAAACACAGCGCGACTCAACAAACGTTGCGTATCAACAAACATGTAAGCAAAAATGACACCAACCGACACACGAGGCCGTCTCGAGGGGTGGGTGGGGCCCAGGGTGGGGGGGTTCTTGTGTAGTGGTGGCGGCAGGGAGCAGTTCTGGTGACGAAATGGCCTCCTAATTGGCCTGAGCAAACAGACATACAGAACCGAACAGAACTACCGATCACCACTGTTGCTAATGCTATCGGTACCTTCAGGCGTCTCAATGCCAGCACCCTTGTCGTCGTCAAGATCTCGGCACCCGTGTCTGTTTCTTCTCTAACAACGAACCTTTCCAAAGACCCTTTAAGTGCTACATTGGTATCCCTGCTCTTCTGCTTCCTTTTAATTTTCTCGCGCCCACTGTAGTATTTTACACATTTTCCCCCGTCTCTGCTTGTGCTCAGCAGTTTTCCCCCAGCTAACTTTTTCCCCTAGCTGGTTTAGTTATGCTGCAATCACTTTTAGCTTGCAACTGGCCCATGACGTAGTGAGAGCAGGACAGGCCTCCAATTCTGAATAAAGCTCTCCCACTAACTTTAGATTTCACCT